CAGGAACTGACCTCATAGGGCTGGAGTTGGTACAAAAAGGCTACTCGACAACTAAGGAGGTTTTCAGGACCAGGTTCTACTCAGACTGGACTTGCAGGGCCTTGATGGGCTTTAACTTTGCAAAAATCCTGTCGTAAGCAACTGGAAGAAATCTGGTGCAAGACTGGACGGACTCAAGCCGGCTACCTCGCCCATATCCCTCAGTGTGCTTGCTGCGAAAACCCTCTTTTGGTATCAGAAATCAACCATTGAAGTGCATATCACTCATATGACTCGCAAGCTCGGCTCTCATCAGTCAGGGACTAGAGTTCGGTCTCAAAAGGTGTCTACTTCGCAGAAAACGCAATTCGGGCCGCCCTGCAAGAATCCGATCTTGGGAACCGTTCTTCTAGAACTGTGAGAACCAACAGAGGTTGAATGACCCTATAGACTATCGACTATCCCAGTTCGGTACCCCAGGTGACGGGTTCTAGTTCAGGTCACTGGCTACCTCTGTTGGGAACCAACCATGTGGACTGATTTCCTAGCACCTTTGCTTTCACGCTCTTGATCTCGCCCACCGCACCAATTTTGGCAGAGCACCACATCCCCTCCGAAGGCAGGTTCTTTGTCAGTCTACTGGGGTGTACTGACGATCTCTGCATGATAAGCCAGCCAGCAACGTGCCAAAAGCTAGTATATAAACAAACGTTCACCCCTTTTTCAAAGGGATTTGGAGACCTTTTTCGCGAACTAAACCATGTGTACCGGTCTGTGTACCATCTCTACCTGTCTGAACCTCCAGCCCGGCGCAGCCGCCGTCCGCCGTCCGAGACGAGCGTCGCACAAGAACGATGCCTCGCCGGCGGGATCCTTCTCCAGCTCCGCCTCGGCGTACTCGCGGAGCACCTCCTTGAAGCGTCCCCGCTCCGAGATCCGCAGGTAGCACCCGCGGCTGTACCTCGACTGCAGGGAATTTCGCGGAGCAGCGATTCTCCACTCCGGGACCTGCCTGGGAAGCTGGAGCGACCAGGAGACGAAAGGGTCTATGTGCCAAGTGTGGGGCGCACAGTCAATCAGGGACAGGCAGTTAGAATATGCTACATGTATTTAAATGCAGATAGAATATGAAACATTTAAATACTGGATTTTTTTTGGCGGAGCGCAGTTAGAATATTTTCTTATGATTTGTGATGCTTTTTTTATGTTAGGCAAAGAATGCGGTTAGAATATGCCTTATGTGTACAGTAATTGATACTGTCTTGATATTTAAGGTGTAGGTAGTTATGCTTCATTGTTGATTTTGTTGATTTTGCATATTCTATCTGCACTCGTATTCTAAGTGCAAGCGCGCACCGCATCGGTGTCGGAGGTCTAAATTTAAATACCTAAATTGTTTGATGTTATATTCAATATTCTAACTGCCTGTCCCTGACTGTAACTCCTCAGAAAGCACTTGGCGTCGTCCCAAACGATAAAATCGAATCAACTCAAGCGGAGTTGAGATGCAATACATGTGATGCCACCCGAGGCACAAGGGCATCTTGCCAAACTTTTGGCATGCCTCTCCCACCGTTGGCGTGTAGACGGCTGGCAGAAGCATCGAGGGTTTCGACGAGATGGTGGCATAGTAGAGATTGGGACTCCTGTCGTAGAGCTTACCTGGCAACAGCCGCACTTTTGGATGAATTTCCAAGCATGCATTGCATATATCGCTGAACAATGGCAAGCAGGTCCACCCGTGTGTGCGGGTGTGTCTGTGTGTGTGTTATCTTTTGTCCAAGGTGGTTTTGGAGTTTCAAGTTTAACCGTGGTGATCAATAGCAACTTAAGATGGACCTTACCATATATCCATGTGTAGATCCACCAGAATCATGACTACTAGAACAGGGACCAGTTCAAAGTTCTGGGCATTCCGAATCTTGCGAATCGCTACACGCCAATCCGTCTGCTCCATCCTTTTTTGGGGGGCGCCGGATGTGTCTGCATAGGAGTGGCCGTGCATCCCAGTGGCGCATGTAGGCATAGGTCCAGAGGTTGTGCTCCAATGACATCAGTGCACTAACCTCTTTTGGCCCAGGGGCGGGGGGCGAAAGGCGCATCGAGTCGCGTGGAAGGAAGGGGACCATGTCATCCGATCCAAGTCATGATTTCGCGCCAAGTCTGATGACCTTTGGACCTGTCCTTTAATGATGAGATCGACCTGATCGACCTGATCCATACTAAACCTATATATATATATACCAGGCTTCCGACAGAGGGTCCAGCGGCTTGGTCCAGATGCCTGATACCTGATCGACCTGATCGCCGGGTCTGGTCCAGGCTTCCGACAGACACCGATCGGATCGGGATCCGCGTCCAGCCTCAGCCAGGGCCTCTTCCACAGAGGTCGCCTAGAGCAGGAAGGGACGGCCAGGGGCAGGGCGAGCGCCCTTAGTGGAGACTCTCCCTGGAACTAAGATGGAAGTGGAAGACCCCCTGTTTGTAGAGGAAACTGGTCTTCCAAGGAGCCGCTAGTTCCAGGGAGTGCACGTATCTTCTCAGATTCGAGCACTCCCCGGTTCCAAGTACTGGAAAAAGGTCCCAAGATCAATAGAAAGGATTGCACTCCCAACAGAGGTTAAGTGACCTGAACTAGGACCACTAGGACCCGTAACCTGGGGTACCTATAGAATAGCCGAACTAGGGTTCTTCAACCTCTGTTGGTCTGAAAGGATTGCACGCTTCAAGGGATGTGTCACGATTCGGTCCAATGGCCTCAGAGTGCCACGCCCACCTCCATCACGGGCTGCCCGTTTTCCTCGCCCTGACCTTGCCGCGAGCCACGCCTTGCACATGCCCTTCAACATCAGCGCCAGCTGCTTCACATCTGAGTGCTTCTCATTCCAAGCATCGATGCTACCCGCCTCTCAAAACCCCCACGACCCCCGGGGAGTGGGCGACGTCAGAATACTGCCAGGGTGGGGGAGAACGACTCCGAGACCGGATCCGGCTGGCCGAGGTCGGACGAAGGGTGGAGTTGGCCCCTAAGGCATGGACCCAAAACGCGCACGGCTCGAGCTCGAACTCTCCGCAGGAAGTCGAACCGCCTCTGCCACACCATGGGCATAGGACAAACTGCGCGGAGGGGCTGCCGGAAAAATCGAGGCCAAGAATTGGTTCAGAGTCAGCACCTGGCTGCAGAAGCACACGGCAGCCAACTGATGGACAACTCAAGACGTATTGGATTCATATGGGTACACAATCTCCAGTGCGGGGTGTTGATCCACATCATGCAGACTCTTGATTCACAAAACCGGATGGATCTTCGGGAACTCCGGGGGTCGGACTCAAAGACCAGGACGGAGTTCTGACCCATCTCATGGGTGACTTTGGGACCCATCCAGGGGCCGTGGATGTTCTGGGCATCTGTCCATTCAGATCCATCCCCAGCACCCCACGGACAGCCACGCCCCGCCTCCACGTCCCCCCAGCACCACGTCCCAGCCCTCCGCGCCTCGCCCGCAGCGACACCGTGCGCCTGTCGGAGCAAGTACGCAGCAGAGGCCTCGTCCACGCCGCAGCGCTGCAGAACCGTCTCCAACTCCTGACCTCGGGCGCGGCGTTCCGCGCGAGCCGCGAGACGCGCGAGGTCAGCTGGAGAAGCGCGAGAGGTCGGCTGGAGAAGCCTGAATGATAATCAACTGACACGCAACTATACCTTGAAAGCTAAACAGGTTTTAATATATTTAAGTGGGACCTGAACTGGTACCGCTACAAGGGACGGTTTTTTCAAAACCTCTCTGGGCAGCGAGGGGGGGGTTCAGGTGCACTGCAAAATGAGAGTGATGGGTGGAGATGTTGGGATCACCGGGTGGCAGTTTCTCGAAGATCCGCAGCTAGATGGAGCTAGATGTTGCCAATGGTTTTTCTGACCTTGACCTTCACTTCTGTCCAGACGTCTTGCCCCTGCTTATCCTACTTCCTGCGGTTTCTTTGAAGCTCAACGTTCAGGCTCCAGTGCTGAAATCAGACCGCCCCCAACCTGCCACATGCTGTGCCCGGTTTAAACCAGGCCATGAACGCCATGGTCTGATGAGACCGGACCAGCAGCCATCTTCAGAAATCATCCACCCTTCCCTAAACAAGCAGGGCAGCAGGGCCTCAATAGGACCGCCCTCGACCGAAAAGAACAGATACCAAGAGGCTCCGAATGCCCCTGTCACATCCACTCACTGATACTAATAGAGACGAAAACCCTCCAACTCCATGTGAACACCTGGTAGACTAGACTAGACTTGATTTGATGAAGGAAAAAATGGGAAAAAGGCCCTGGACATCGAACCGTCGACAACCATCGCGCGAACATCGTCCAACCGCGGTCCAGGCTGCATCGGATGGAGTCGCCGACCGTTTGCAAGAAGGCCTCTCGGACGCCCTGCATGACGATGCACAGCGAGCGCCGCTGAGCCCAAAGCAGCTGGCAGACGGACTGAGCTGTGGCAACCGCCCTGTGAGGTTCAGTGACCTGAACTAGGGCCTTACTGAGGTACCGATGGGATAGTCGAACTAGGGGATTCTTCAACCTCTGTTGGTTGGAAAGCCGGTCAAACAGCAGCTCTTAGCGACTTGGAAGACCATTGGTTCTGGCTGAAAGCCACCTGGAGAAGTCTGAAAGCCACCGGGCAGCCACCACTGTGCCATGAGGCGACCGGATGCACGCACTTCCTCCCCGCGGTCCCGGTGGATGAATGTTTTTCTTCCAAGTTTCTATGCATGGGAGTGCACACACGTGCGAGAGGCACTTGGGACATATGAATTGTGAAAAGGATTGAGAAGGTCCCTTTGGAAGCTTCCGGGAGAAACTCATTGACCCTTGCGATGGCAAGTTTTTACCCCTGTTTTTACCCCTGCAGGCCATGGATATATGGGTAACACCTCACGAACTGTGCAAAACATGTGCCAAAACCCTTCAAGAGCCTCACTGCTCCTCCCCCGGATGACGCTTCCGGAACCACCCAGCCGGCCGCGGGCCCCCGGGCGACTCGCGCATGACTCGCACTTCGAGGGCGTACAGGGTGGGCACATCGAGGATGCACACCTGCCGCAGCGGATGTTTTGGGGCGTTGAGTCGAGACGAACGAGATACGGCTTGTCATGGGCGGCTTTCATGCGCGTTTGGCCTGGTGGAAGATTCTGGGTGGGTCTTGAGGAGGGAAGTGTTAGAATGCTAAGTGAATGCCGATTTCCCTCCAGGATGAAGGCAGAGTTGACCCGGGGAGTGAGATGTATCGGGCAAGTGTTCGGGCTGGGCATGGTGTCGGACAGTCGGACATGGACTTGGTCGGAACACGTCAAGATGAAAACGGCATGGTTCCTGCACTGGGATTTTGCGAGCGTCCCTGTATCAGATCACATTGATTCTTCAACACGGACCATCTCTTCAGCCAATCCCCCCCCCCCAAAAAAAGAAAAACAACCATGTTTGGGAGTCCCAAGTGTCACAGCGTCAGCGTCAGCGGTGATGCCTGCTCCGCTCCCTGGCTTGGTTTCTCCCCCAGCTCAGCTGGAGCAGTGGAAGCACCGGCACCCGACGAACGACCCTCCGGACTCCAGACTCCACGGCATGCTCGCTGGACCCACCGGACTCACCTCCAGGGCGCCCTCGAAGAAGTGGTCAATGCTCTCCTCCAGGTCCGCAGAGGTCCGCAGAGGTCGCGCGCGAGTGGTGCCCGAGGGTCGAAGTTGGTGCGGCCGAAGACATGGAGAAACGAGGCCCAAGCATGATCCCGGCTGCGATCATGAAAGCATGGGAGAGCTTGTGCCAGGGCACTTGGTCTGCTCGAAAATGAGAGTAAGTGGGAAAAAGTCCCACCCGGCAGCTGCACCATATCGATTTTGGCCCGTTGGTCTTCACCATCTTCACCCCCGGTTCGGCCGGCCGAGAGTTAGAGTCCTCCAGGATAGATGCCCGGATCTCGGTTCCAAATGGCAGAGCTTGGACACTTAAAGCAATGGGTAGGAGGCCGTTCGATCTTCACACAAAGCCTTTTATAGATTCATAGCGTCCACAAAATCGAAAGTGCAAGGCTCAGAGAAGAGGTACTCATTATGCTCATTTAGAATGGGTTGGTCTGTAGGACAAGACCCCCCCAAAAGAAAATCCTCAGTGTCCAGACAGCAACCTCCAATACCATAACCCCTGAAAATCATTGCACAGACGAGAGAGAGAGAGAGAGCGCACGCGCGCATTATCGAGATTGAATTCATGGACCTTGAGGTTGGGCAGACTATTCTATAAAATATAGGTCAGAGAAAAATTGTTGTTTTTGCATGTTTTTGCAGGCTCACTCTAATTTCTCATATTTCTCCAAGCTGTGGGTCAAAAGATGTCCGCTCTCATCCGCTCTCGGATTCTTATTTTTCCTTTTGCGCTATTGTGACGCCCATCAGCGCCCTAACAACCCGTGGAAGCGCGCTAGAGAATAACCCTCCCAACCACGTTGCTCTAAAGAATCTGCCAATTGACTTCCATAAAACGGCAGGGTCTTGCAGCCATAGCTCAAAACTGTTCCTGTGAATTGTACGCCGTACAATGGTTTTCAGACCATGCTTTGACGGTAGCTTTTGGCCACTGGCTGCTGCCGTTATGGTTCTGGCCTCCCTGCGCCAATGCAGGGGCCCCTTGAGACCTCACACGTGCTACGCACATGCTAGAAAAGACGTTGACACGTTTTCGATTCCATCTCGACACTTTGTGCGGTCGCGATTCCAACACGTGTTCCCACATCCGTGTTTTCATATTGGTAGCGGAGCCTCCTCACAGGAGGGGGCTCCAGCATCGCAATGGCTTCGTCGCCGTCCCGCCGCGGAACCTCACGCGACGCGAATGGCGGCAGCTCCTCCGCGAATGCTGGCAAGATCTGAAGGACAACTTCGTGCCCCGCTTCGACAACACGACCACGACCTATGCTGAATGGCGGAGGCGAGTGACCTTGTACGCCCGGAAGCTTGAGCTTCAAGGGCGGAAGAGCGAAATCGCCCTCAACGTCCTCTCAGTCCTTGAAGGTCCATCCTGGACCCAGTGTGAAGATCTGGATCTTCACGAGCTGGAGAAAGAATCTGGCCTCGACATCCTTCTCAAGCGCCTGGACCGCCAATGGGCGTATGACGCCAAGGTCGAAATGCCGACCCACTTCGAGCAGTTCTTCTTCAAGCTGCGGCGCAAGAAGGACCAGTCGATCCTGGAGTACACCACCGAGTTCCACCAGACCCTCAGACAGGTCTCGAAGCACAAGATCGATCTTCCTGAGGAGATCACCGGCTGGATGATGTTGAAGAGAGCCGGACTGACTAAGGAACAAGAGCAGCTCATCCAGACCAACATCGGCTCGACCCTCACGCTTCCAGCTGTCGAGCAGGCTCTCTACTTGATCCTCGGCCAAGATCATCGCCATGTTCACCTTCCTGCTCACCTGAGGAAGCCACAGCTCCCCGGCCGATGGAAGAGACAGAGCCAAGTCTTCTGGGAGGAGGACTACGAGCTGGATGAGAACTATGAGGATGACGAGACCTACTTCCAGGATGCCATCGACCCCGACGACTTCCAGGAGACCATGGGAGAATGGGATGACCCAGAGCCCGATGACACCTTCTACTACGATGAAGCTCAAGAAGAGCTGGACTCCATGTTTGACACTCAGGAGTTCGATGACATCTACAGCACCTACGTTGACGCCAAGAACCGCCTCAACCAGCTCAGACAAAGCCGTGGCTTCTATCCCGTCGTGGCTGTGGTTGATGGCGGGAAGGGTCAAGCACCTCTGATGGCCCAAGGTTCCGGCAAAGGCAAATCCAAGAGCCCTGGTAAGTCAAAGAGCTCTTCCAAAGGAAAAGGCTCGAAGTCTGGAAAAGGGCCCAGCGGCAAGCAGAGAGCTCGCTCAGCCTTGGTACGCCTTCGCTGCGGAAAACCTGGACACTTCGCAGCAAACTGTCCGACGACAGGTGCACAGTCGAGCTCACCAAAGAAGCGACCTGCAGATGACGACACAATGGTCAATTTGGTCCTCAGCATTGAAGAGTTCTATGATGCTGAGGAGGGCTACGACTATGAGAATGAGATCTTCTATGACCCTGAAGAGGCCTACGCCCAAGGGGAAGCTCTGGTCCGTGCCGGCGGCTGGCTCACGCCGGATCCTGACGCTTGCATCCAGGACCAAGGAGCATCATCATTCCTGGCTGGCAGTGAATACATCCTGCGCTACCTCAAGAGGCTGGAAATCCTCGGCTACCCCATGGACAAGTTGAACTTCAAGCAGTGTGACAAGTCCTTCCGCTTCGGTGGCGATGCTACAGGACAGTCAAAATGGATGATCGAGCTACCAACACGTCTGGCTGACGTTGGCGGCAAGATGCGAGCCTATGTGATCTATGGTGCCACTCCCATGTTGTTTGGCCGACCCTTGCTTGAAGCTCTCCATGCCGAGATTGACTTTGGCCGCTCTCGGATGCGCATGCTTGACCAGGAGACCTGGCGGGAGATCCCGCGTGGCCGTCAGGGAGCAATGCTGCTTCGCCTCGCTGAAGGGGTGACACGCCCTGAGGACTTCTTCCCCGAGACCTTCGATCTTCGATGTGAAGATGATCACAACAATGGCCTCAAGCTGAATGACTTCTTGGACGACCTCAACGCCCATGAGCGCTTCTTTGAGATGACCACTGAAGTGCACGCATACTTCCAGGCATGTGAAAAGGGTGAAAATGATGAGACAACCTACATGGAGGTCGACCAGGAGAACATGACCGACCTACTACCTGGTGAAACAAGCAAAACGATTGAACAGTTGGAAAAGACCCTCACCATGTTCGAGCACCAGTTAGCTGAACACCAGAAGACACTTCATCAAGAAGTACATCATGCCCGGGAACATGGCCTTTCCCACCGCAAGCGGCTGATCTGGGAAGTCTATGCTGGAGAAGGCCGCATCACTCAACTTCTGCAAGCTCACGGTGATGTGGAGGTGATGCGCTTCGGATTCGAAGATGGATGGGACTTCAACAGAGCCGCACATCGAAAAGCTCTACTACGCTTGTGCGACGAACTTGAGCCTGATGAGATCTACATGTCCCCCAGTTGCACTCTCTGGTCGAGGATGCAGCAGATCAATGTGCACAATGAGGCTCAAGCTGAAGATCTTCAAGAACGCCGTGAAGTGGACCGGCGAACCCATCTGACTATGTGCAAGAAGCTGTATTACAAGCAGGTGAGAAGAGGAGACCACGCCCACATCGAGCACCCTCACCTGAGTCTGGCTTGGGAAACGCCTCAACTCCGACATCTTCCCGGACATCAAGCTGTCTTCGACCAATGCGCCTACGGAGCAGTTGCCGAAGCCGATGACGGCTCACTCCTGCCCATCAAGAAGACCACCAAACTGCAGACGACAAAATGGGCAATGTTCAATCTGATGTCCAAAAGGTGCGATGGACAACATGCTCACCAACGCCTCGAAGGACGGAACAGGTGCAAGAAGGCTGAAAACTACCAGACAGAGCTAGCAACAGCACTCGCTCGTGGACTACTTCTTCATGAAGGCCTCGATGAGCAAGTTTACACCGTCCACAATGAAGATGACAAAGCTCTCACTGGTGTCCTTCGCAAACTCGGAAAAGTCCATGGCAGTGAAGCAGTCCGCATTGCCTACCGACTTCATCGGAATCTTGGTCATCCTCGCAAAGATGTTCTTCTCAAGATGCTCAAGGAGCGAGGATGCAATGAGGCAATTCAAGCGGCAGTTCAAGACCTCCACTGTCCATACTGCGAGATCCACTCCGTCAAGAAGGGCAACGCACCTGGCCATTTGGACAGACCCACTGAGTTCAACGCCCAGGTTCAAGCTGATGTTTTGTGGTTGGAGATGGACGAGATCGGCATGCTCCTCGAGGCTGGTCAACGCAAGCAGCGCACCAAGCGCATTGCCGTGCTCATCATGGTGGACGTTGCCACTCGCTACATGGCAGCACGCACAGTCCCAGATGAAAAGGGCATCTCTCTTCAAAAGGCCCTTGAACGAGCCTGGATCCAGTTCCATGGACCTCCCAAGCAGCTCTACGTCGATGAAGGAACTGGATGGGCTTCAGACTCCACAGCTACATGGTGTGAACAGCACGACATCGAGCTTCGCATATCACCTGGCCAAGCTCACACTCGCACCAGCATCGTTGAGCGCAGACATCAACTGGTTCGAAAGGCAGTCTCCATCTTCATGCTGGAGCACGAGCTAAAAGGCCTTGACGGAGTTCAACAGGCTTTATCATGGGTTGTTCCTGCGGTCAACTCCAACACCTTTGTGAATGGCTTCACTCCGTCCCAGCTTGCATTAGGCCGAGAACCTTCAATGCCCGGACTCATTTCTGATGAACGTACTGGACCACTACAACTTCAGATGTCCGAGCAAGAGCGACTTCACAGACGCCTCACTTTGAAGTTCTCAGCCCAGCAGGCTTGTGGTAAGGCTGAAATTGATGTCAAACTGCGCCGAGCTCTCCTTCGCAGGTATACTGGCCGTGATGAAGACCTTCATCCTGGAGAACGATGTCTGTATTGGCGAGATGCTGCTGATCGAGCACACACCATTCGCTGGAAAGGTCCTGCGATCGTTCTGGCCATCGAGAGAAACCCTGACACTGGCACCGTGTCCTGCTATTGGCTGGCTCATGGAACCGTTCTCCTTCGTGCCAGTACTCAGCACGTTCGCAAGTTGGTCAACGACACTGGCACCATCGACGGTTCAGCTCGAGTTCAACAGGCTCTACGAGACCTAAGACAACGGCGAGCAGTTCGCATTGTCGATCTTCGACGCTCCAACAAGCGATCCATCGACGAGGTTGACCCCGAGGTGAGCGACTTGGAGTACACTCCCACGGACACCGAGGCTCAACCATCCACGATGGCTTCTCCCGGACAACCTGATGGACAACAACAGCCCGCTTTGGAGCATGCTGCTCGGTCCGCACCTCCACGACCTCGACGTGAAGAGCCTCCACGAGAGCCACCTGATTCACTTCCTCCAACACAGGAAGCAACTGAGGATCAACCTGATCAAGATCCCCTTCCTTCAGAGGTTCCTGATGATCCACCTGAACCACTACAAGAACAAGCTGGACCTCAACAGTTGGTAGAAAATGAAGATGAAGATGAAGAACCAATGGGCGAACCAGCACACATGCAAACGCCCAAGGCACCTCGTGATCCTGCTGATCTTCCTGCAGTTCCCGAGGACCACGACTTGGATCAACCTCCGGAAGCACCACCGACTTCATCACAAAGTCCAATGCCAGTGGATGCCACCTACATCCCTCCTGCTGTACCTGAAAGTTTTCAAGATCGACGACGACGCTTCGATCAGCAGGAAACCATTTGGACAAGAAAGAAAGCTCGCACTGACGAGCCAGAGGTTGAAGTTGGCCTCCACTCCATGGACTTCTCCAAGACCACTCTTCCAGAAGGCTGGACCTATGACAAGAAGAACAACGAGTTCGTCTTGGGAGCCACTCAAGACTGGTGGAGCTTCGAGGATGGCTTTTTGGTCCGCAACCACGTTTGGAGCAGAACAAGCACCTACCATCCCGAAGAGTTTCCGGTCTTTGCTGACTTTCTGCAGACCACCACCGGTCTGTCCATGCAACAGGGAACTCGCACCATCTATGTCAACTCCGCCGAGGAACAGCACTTTGCTGATGGATGGACTGGCAAAACCCTGTACCCTCTCACACAGGCAGGTGCAGAGCACTATGGTCTTCACTACATCGGCGACCTCACCAACAAGCTTCGCAGATGCAAGACTTTGCGTGGCCGAGGCCACATCTGGCAAGCAGTTGGCATGGGTGCTCCTCGCAAGAAACATGTCAAGGAGAGCGCCGACCTCAATGAGCGCCGGATGTCACTGGAGGACCAACCGCCTGACCTTCCTGGAGGGCAAGAAAGCAGAGCTCTCAAGCATCTTTGAAAATGGAGTTTGGGAGATTGAGACTGACTCCGCTTCTGTCGACCACAACAGAGTGATGAAAGCTCGCTTTGTTTTGAAGTGGGCAGCTGATGGCAAGGGCGGCCTCAAGGCCAAGGCCCGTTTGGTCCTGCAAGGGTTCTCTGACCCCGACTTGTTGAATGGCGCTCTGGACACTTCATCGCCGACTTTGGCAAGCACATCTCGACAGGTGTTGCTGGCTATCAGCCAAGTTTCTGGCTGGAAGCGCTGGACAGCCGACGTCAGTACGGCATTCCTCCAAGGTGATCCTCAAGAACGTGTTCTCTGGGCTGGCATTCCTCGAGACGCCTGCAACATCATCGGTGTTCCTGCTGGAACACTGATGAGGCTGATCAAGCCCATCTACGGTCAAGCCGACGCCCCAAGGCAATGGTTCATCGTGGCCAGAAGGCGACTTGAAAGTCTTGGATATCGAGCTCACCCACTGGATCAGTGCCTCTTCACCTACCACGACTCCGATAAGAACCTGATCTCCATGGTGGGACTCCATGTCGACGACCTCTTGGGCTGTGGCAAAACCGACTCCTCTGAATACGAGCACCTCAAGTCCAAGCTGAAGGAAGCCTTCAACTTCAAGCACTGGACGGAAGAGGGAGACACACCTTTGGAGTTCTGCGGCTGCCACCTGAGCCGAGACAACACTGAGTCCAAGCTGCACCAGAGCGACTACTTCAAGAAGGTCAAGCCTATGACATGCAATGATTATGATGCCAACCGTTCCCTCAACAACAAGGAACAAAGTTGCCTCAGAGCCCTTCTCGGAGCACTACAATGGCCTGCCACTCAGACCTCACCTCATTTGAGTGCTTCGGTATCTTTGTTGTGCGGCGAAGTCACAGCCGCCACAGGTGACACTGCAGCTCAAGCCAACAAGCTCCTCCGCTTTGCCAAGAACAACAGCGATGCTGCCCTGATCTTTCGAGATCTTGGAGGAGACATGGAGAAGCTTTGCATGGTGGCCATGAGCGACGCAGCCTGGGGAGTTCGTCGAAACAGCGAATCCCAAGGTGGCTATGTGATCTTCCTCTACAACCAGCAGATCCTGGAAGACGGCTCCACACAGGACTACATCGTTCTGGATTGGAGAAGCTTCAAGTTGCCAAGAGTGAGTCGTTCATCACTCAATGCTGAGAGCCAGGCTTGCTCGGCCGCCATGGACGCCCTGGAGTATCTGTTGATCTTCTGGGAGGGCTGCACCCGACACGACTTCCAACTTCGACAGGTGGACGAGTTTTCACCGACTATGCCCTCGTCACTGGTGGTTGACGCCAAGGCACTCTACGACTCGCTCAAGGCTGAAACTCCCAGCCTACAAGGCGACAAAAGAACAAAGATTGAAGTCATGGTGACCAAGCAGAAGATGCTGGCAATGAAGTCCCGGTTGAAATGGGTCTCATCTGAGGCTCAAATGGCCGATGGAGTCACCAAGTATGCCGCCAGACAGCTCTTTGCCGATCGTCTTCGTTCTCATCATCTTTCACTACAAGCTGATGTCTCCTTTCAGGCATCCAAGAAGAAGACCCTGGCAGAGCGACAGGCAAGCGCAAGACGCCATGCCATCACTCGGACTGGCAACCCCAACCACTTGGCCTTTGCAGTCCTCACCTCGCAGATGATTGGAGTCAAGGCCATGACGGTGGATGAGGTCATAGCAACTATGCTGTCACCCGAGATGACCGTGACCCTGTATGTCATTGTGATTGGCATGCTGCTGTGGCGCTTCCTTTGTGGCAACAAGGGAACTTCATCATGGAGCTCCACGGTTACAAGAACGACCTGGACTATGACTTCAACGAGCTCTACAGCGGCCGAGACACAAACCGAGAAGGAGCCTGAGACCTCCTTTGGTGTCCTCCGCACCGAGAACCTGCGGCTGCAAGACATCGTGAGAGACCAGGAAGCTGAACTATTTGACCTACAAGCTCAATGCAGAGCACAAGAAGAAGAGATTGAACAGCTCATCGACATCCGAGAGTACATGAGGATTGAGATGCGCGAGATCGACACCGAGTACAAGAAGGCCCGCGACAACTGGATCGATGCGCACAATCGCTTAGCTGCGGTTCGTGACCAGCTCTCCAGAAGTTGGGTCCCAGATGCGGTCATCACCACACGCACTGGAAAGTCCTACCACACCTATGCAGACTGTCAAGCTTTGGCTTCAGCTGATGCTACACAGCTGAGGCAATGGAACTGTTGTGCCTTCTGCAGCCAGAAACACCTTGAATTCTGGCGAAGCTACTGAGGACCACCACCGGTGTGAATTGTACGCCGTACAATGGTTTTCAGACCATGCTTTGACGGTAGCTTTTGGCCACTGGCTGCTGCCGTTATGGTTCTGGCCTCCCTGCGCCAATGCAGGGGCCCCTTGAGACCTCACACGTGCTACGCACATGCTAGAAAAGACGTTGACACGTTTTCGATTCCATCTCGACACTTCGTGCGGTCGCGATTCCAACACGTGTTCCCACATCCGTGTTTTCATAGTTCCTATGTGTTTGCCATGTTTTTCGCCTTACTTTCCATATCTTCCCATAAAATTCATGGGGCCTCTTCAAGCTCCAATGAGTATCCTATAGAATGACCCTCCCGTCTTTGGTCCCTAAGGCCTTGGATTTCATTCAGGTTGTGTGTACCGGGGGATACGTTCCCTGCCATGAGGAAGTTCGGAACGCCATGCCCGGGAGGCCTGGGGGGGGACCCCCCTGCTGCTTCGAGCCCACTTTTGCGCCACCCGTCTCCTTCAAGGCCTGCGCTTTCTGCAAATAGACTTCCTGGCAAGTGTCTCGTATATGGCAAACCGGCCACACCAAAGGCTAAGTGATCTGAACTAGGGCCTTACTGAGGTACCTATAGGGGATAGTCCAAGTGTGTCCAAGTAGGGTTCTTCAACCACTGTTGGTAGCTTTGGTAGAGGCCATGGCCGACCCGTTCTGTCTAGGCTCAGCCAGGGGTTCATGGTCCAGCCATGTGAAGCCGTGAAGTGAACGGCCTGCCGACTGTGGATCGAACGCACATTCTGAAGCTAAGGGGGACACTGCAACACGCACAAATGTGTCGGAGTCCCAGGCCCTGAAAAAGAGCCGAGAAACACACCAACCCTTAGAAGTCTCAGAATTCAGTCTTCCCACGTCGTGTTTCGTCATTCTTCTTCGTAGCTGCTTAACCCCCCCAAACCACACCCCTCGGCGAATTCACAGAAAGTAGATCAGGGCCTTGCAGTCCCTGGAATCATTCATGACAGTGCAAAACCCACCTGTTTGTACAGGAAAATGGCCATCCAATTGGGCCATTTTCCATCCGAGTGTTTTTCGCAAATCTAAGTCTGCTCAAGCCTCGGGCCTGGTTCGGAAGCACCCCGCATCTCCAGGCCCTCCACAGCGCCACCACGTTCAGAGCCGCGGGTGTCACGGTGTCGGTCGTCCTCTTTTTCCGTCTCGTTTCCGTCTCGTCACGGTGTCGGTCGTCCTCCTCTAAACGCACGGAGCAGGATTGCTTGGGCACACCCGCGCAGCGCTCGATTTGCACGTAGAAGCTGGCCTGGGGGTGGAGGGAGGCCGGTCGCCCAACCCGCCACGCAGCTGGCACGACCCGCAGGGGTCTCTCAAGCAGTTGTTGCGGGTGGGGTTGGCGAAATCCGCCTCCCTTCCAGTTTTGCCAGATGGATGGAACCCTGATTTGCATATAAAAGGTGAGGCCGCCAGGAAGGCTGCTTCAAGGCTATATTGCTGAAGTTCCAAGCGACACCAACTAATCGATGTCAGTTCTGAACATCAAAATCCGTGCTGCATATTTAAATACGCCCCTCCCTCAACCTGGAAGGATTCGGCCAGCCATGTTCAGCACTTTTCACCTCCTCCGATTCTAGGCCACCAGTCGCCCATCCATTGTTGGCTCCCATCCGCCACTTGTGGCCGCTCAGGAACCACCTGACTCCTGGCAGCGATCCTCTGAGATCCGACACTGGAGCACAGGTGGTTCACGCCCGCGTTCGTTTCCGTGCGACTGCGAGCTCGTTACCGTCACCCTGCAGGCCGGACCCCAAGTGGAAGCCCAAAAGCCTGGGCTTTGGAGAGGTGAACTACTTGAACTCCTGGGGTCCGGCGTTTTAGTGGAACTCGTTCTTAACACTGACAACACGGTCGGTCTTTCGTCTCAGCCTGTGGTAAGAGATGGTCACAGCAGTGGCGCAACTCGTCTCCCTTCAGCGGTCCTCTTTCCGAACTCCACGACAATGCCTACCCAAAACCATCGGATGCCTAAGGGCCTACCGCACCTGGCCACTGGTCTTCTGGATGGCTCAACTGAAACGCCACTGGTCTTCGGCAAGGCCAGTTCTCCGCACAGGGCACAAACCCCCTCCAAATTGGGAGGGTAAAGGAACCTCGTGAGCGCTTGTAGTCAGAGCCCGTGACACCAAGCTAACTCTTGATCAAATTCAACCCCCCGCAGAGGTTTTGCCATCCACAGACATGGGGCTCCTCCATCTAGAGTCTATATAAATCATGGTCTACATCTACCTCAAAGCCGTCGCCACTTCGCCACATCCCCGAGTTGTCGCGCGTAGCCGACTCGCGCGTCCATCGCGCGTGCGGTTTGCCCTCCTCCGAGTGCTGCTCGCGCGGCGTGGAGCTGGCCGGACGATCCGACGGCTTGGAACCTTCTCGGTCTTCCCCAGGAAGTCCCAGAAGGCTATTGAAGGAATGGTCACAAGTAGACCCGTGGCTGTTTTGCTTGGCTGTTTTGCTTCCTCTACCTGAAAAAGAATTGTTCAAAGCATCTGCATCCTCTACAAAAAAGGGGAGCGGAGGGAGCGGGAACGTCCCTTACGAAGGAAAAAGTAGCATTTGGACGCCGTTTCAGTCATAGACTTGTTCGCCTACTCAGCCTCCTCACGGCCTGTTGGCCTCCCAAACGTCAAAACAAGAGACATTACCCGGCAGAAGACTGCCGATCGGACGCGCCCGCCAGGGCTCAAGCTTCATGATTGATTTTGGGCGGAAACGTCACTTTCTACTCGAAATACACCGCCTGTGTACCCCAAGATGAGCCACATGTAGTCTTTGGAGCCACCTATAAAGACCAGCGACATCGTGCTGGTCACGGCTTGTTCCGGTCCTCCAGTGGTGCCGTCCGATCGGTCCACGGACCGGCCGCGGGGAGAAGGAGGGGCGTGAAGCCCTCGTGAAGCAAAGGTAAACCAAAGGGACTCAAGGAACATGAAGGGAACTAAGGGTATACCGGGTATACCAAAGGATTCCTCTGACCTCAACACATTGCCCCATGAATTCGGCCACTTGTGAAACAGAAGGTGGTATAGAATGAACAGACCAAAGCGAGCTCTGGCCACGGCCGTTCTTCTCCCCCACTGGGGGCGTCCCACGCGCGTCCCGCGGGCGGGGCGGCATGGCGGGTCACAGCATGGCGTCGAGACCGAGCGGAGAGGCCGAGGTATGGTGAGGTGATAGACAAGTGGAGAGTCATGGATCTGCTGGATAGTCCTAGGACCTGGATGGACCTAGGATCATCTAATGATCTAATGATGTTGGATTGAGGGTTCTATCAATGGGCTCGCACAAATGTTAGATTTTGCAACTGGGTCTTGTACTGTTTGGTATCTGTTTGGTGACCATTTAGCTCTGCAGGGGTTCATGTTCTGTCTCTGCTGCCTTGGACCTGGCAGCATGCGACCCAGACAACCAATCGGCAGCTCAAATACACAAGTGACCTGCCACATCTATGCCGTCCCAGCCATGAGGTTCTCAGGCTGCGACCCCCAAGTGCCATGCCGTCCTGGATGGACCCTGGAAATGGCTTGATGTTTGGTCCGCACCGGGGATGAAAAGTCGAGGTCATGCTCTCAAATCTCTCAACAACCCCCCCACTTTAATGATTTTAAATTGATGTAACCTATGCGGTGCTATTTTTAAGAGTGAGTGTCCAAACTCATAAATTGATGTATCCTGGATCCATTCTCCAATGTTTGAACGGGTGACCTTCCAAACAGGCCTTCACAGGCAGCACATCTCACGTTCCGAACCTCCTGGAGGAAGCCAAGCCCTGGAGCACGCTTTTTCCACGCATGATCTTCAGTCATCTTCGGTCTAGGGTCGTCCCCGAGCCCGACTTGTGGGTGGGCATGGGGACGGGGTGTCTGAATAATGCAAGCGCACTTGCCAGTTTGCAATGTCTGGTGATTTCCTTCCCAGGTGCCTGCCCCCTCTCCAAATCATATGGTCCATTTACATGGCTGCCTTCATCTGCCTTGATTGCTGCAATTCCTGCGAGGATCACGGCCCAACGACTGAGAACCTAGCAAGTCCGCAGTTCGGCGCGGCTGCACTTCTTCGCTGATCGAAGTCAGTGCCGCCCGGCTGGAGCGATCCATGCGGCGGCCCGCAGGGCTGAAGTCTCGGGGCGAGAAAGGCACTTCCCTTTTCTCAAACACACCGACAAACACATCATGTAGACTCTCGATTCCTCAAACACCCCCCCCATTGGAATCTCTTCATCATCTTCGAAAATGGTGGCTCTTTTGGATCGCCCAGTTCCGCGGGAAAAGGTGACGGGACCACCAGCCCCGCAGCCAAGATAAAAAGCCCCAGCCCCAGGGAGCAATCCCTCCATTTGCCCGGTCGGGCGCTCGCTGCTCCCCATGGAGCAGCACGCAGTGGCCGGTGGAGTCTTGGTGTGGTTGGGCTGTGAGAGCAGAGCTGCTCTCAAACACAAAGAAAACAATGGAACCATCATGAACCATCCAAATCAATCGACCCCGGTCCAACGTGAGCGGAACGGGCAAAACGTATTGCTGATAGAGTCTTGTTGTATCCTTTTGTGCTGGGCGATGTCGGTCTGCTGACCTTTCCATTGGACATTGGAGCGGTCAGGAGACGAGCAACGAAAATCAAGAAAAACCTATTCCCTAAGATGCTCTTCTTGAGAGAGAACGTGGTTCTGGCCGGAGAACGACTCGACAAAAGCATGAGTAGAAACCTGTTTTCATCAATAACTTCCCCGGCGGATTTCCACCGAAATTCTTCAGTGGACGCTGCTATCGACACACTTGTGTTATGAATCAAGAGTCTGCATGATGTGGATCAACCTCCCACTGGAGGTTGGAGTTCACAATGTGAATCCCCAAAACGTCCTGAGTTGTCCATCGGTTTCCTTTGGCTTCTCCGAGTTCAGAAATGAGATCCTGTCTTACACCCTGCAAATGTCGAGCACGCGACATTCGGCCAAGCCAAACGCCCCGACCCTCGGGCTTCCGCGGAAGCCAAACCACCCCGCAAAAAATAGAAGCCCAGTGAAGTAGACTTGTTTCCCGGTGTCCTTTTTGCTTGAAATGTATCACGTGATTCCTCTTATCTAAGATGCTTTGAGGGATGCTTGGTGTTAGACACCCTCGACTTTGGAGAAAAAGAGCTCAGCACTTCGGCACCGGATCGCCGGTGTGTTCCGATCGACCGGGAGCTTCGGTGGTTAAGAACCGCCGGGACCGCCCGGACCGCGGCTTCGCTCGGAAGAGCAACACCTCACGTCTTTCGCGCCAAAGAAGGCGTGGAACATCCAAAGGCTCTCTTCGTCTCTCAAGGCTCCACCATGTGTGGATCCAAACCGCCTAACAAACCACCAGGTGGTCCATTTTTCGGAAAAAACCAGGTGTCGTACATCGGATCCTTCCCACCCGGTCCACCACCGGATCCTTCAGACCTTCCACTTTGGGAACCGTTCCGAGGATCGTCGGGTTACGTCACAAGCGCGCGCCGGGTCTTCCTCTCAACCTCGGGCGTGGCGTGGCGGAGCGGCGGAGCGGCGGAGGGGCGTGGCGTCCGAACGCGGCCGGGCCGGAGTGGCTTGGTCCGAGGCTCGTGGGGTTGGGAGGGTGCGAGGCTCGTGGAGAGTGGTGACATGGAGGGCGCTGTTTTTGAGGACCAGTTCAACTCGGGTCCTCATGCTACCAGCACGTGCGGAAGTGTGGGAAAGTCGCTTTTCGAGCACTTCGTCCACTTCCACTTCCGCAAAGATCCATTGAAAACAAGTCTCCGAAAAGAAGGTGCAAAGCTTGCAAATCGAGGCTCCAAGTAAACCCTTGAATGCAAGTCTTGCAAATTTTACCAGGCTCCAATCATGCAGATCTTGCACATCTCTATACAGGGCTCCAAGTAAGCCATTGAATGCAAGTCTTGTAACTATGCCAGGCTCCAGTCGTGCAAAGCTTGCAAATCTACAGCGCTCCAAGTAAGCCGTCGAATGCAAGTCTTGCAATTTTACCAGGCTCCAATCATGCAGATCTAGCACATCTCTATACAGGGCTCCAAGCAAGCAATTGAATGCAAGTCTTGTAACTTTACTAGGCTCCAGTCATGCAAAGCTTGCAAATCTACAAAGCTCCAAGCAAGCCGTCGAATGCAAGTCTTGCAAGTCTTCTACTGCCGTCTCCTTCAACCTTGACAGAGTAGAGGCGTAGAGCTTTCATGCCTCAGAACCATTTCAAAATCATGATTGCACAAAGGGCATCGATGCTTCCCTGTCAGCAGCCACCTCTTCACGCACGACTCATGAAAGTGATGATTGCAAGGTAGTCGCACGGGCGTCAGGGCGTCGCACCGGTCATGACCACCGTCGCACCGTTGCACCATCTCATCATGGCAAATGGCGCAGGGCCCGAGATCGCCTTCCTGCACCTCCACCTGATGAACGAGAGCATCAATGGCAACCCTTCGACGTTCCCGGTGCTTCTGAACCTCGAAGGCCCACTGCTGCGAGCCCGTCCTCACCTTGCACATCAGCAACCTTAATGAAGTGGAGGTGGACAGCTGCTCCTTCATGCTTGCATGGTCTTTATATCCATTGATCTCCTTGATCACATGCCCCCTTTGGATTTCCAGCTCCGGATGCCCTTCATTCCACTCCCTCACCGCTTGCGAGGCACCGAACTCCGTCAACACCATGCCGTCGATGTGGGGGTGCACCGCCATGTGCATGTCCCAAATGTCACGGTCGCAGCGCTGCAGCTGCACTTCGTAGAGATCCAGATCGAACGGTGGAGCAGTCGGGCGCGACCAGCGCTTCGCGGAAGCAGCGCTGCCCATGGTGAGGTCGGGTCGTGCAGGAATGACCGGGGGCACCTGCCTGGTGGATGACTTGAGAAAAGGCGGTGAAAGTGTGACATCCCAGCCACAGCAGGAGGAATCGCTGTTGGCGGAATCGCACAACATCTAAAGTACAGAAGTAAAGATCTGCACAACATCGGTGGAGAATCCACCACTTCCTGGTTCTGAAACCGTCTTTTCCGTCGGACCAACTCCGTCCCTTCAAGCCGTCCAGCCGTCCCTCCGAGCCGGCGGGAACGAAGGGCCGTCGAGGTCCAGGTCTCCCAACCCTGCGCCAGACCCACAGCGGCCAGGCTCTGAACCTCGGCCGCGTGGGTTGGGCGTGCGTTGGGCGTTTGGAACGGAGAGCTCTTCACCGAAGAAAAGCACCGGAATCCCGGTGTTTTGGAGAAAAACTATATGAACATGCTAAAGACAACAAGTACCAATTGGTGTCAACCATTGATATACATACAAGTCGTACCAATACAAGTCGTACCAAGAACTTCTGTTTTGACTCATTGAGACCCCACCCAGTGCCACCGCATCATCTTCCCGCTGTCCGAGGAGACAGGCAGACTCAAAAGGCAACACATCAACCCCGCTGGGTCCCCTGGGTCCAAACCATCGGATCATCGCATCATCTTGCTGCCCTCTCCCGATCATCCTCTCCATGAAGCTGACGACCTGAAGGCCTTGAAGCCCCCCCCAAGGTCGAAATGCCCAACGCAAGCGTTGCGGAGACCGCAGGGCCTGTGGACCAGGTCTCCGCAGGTCGGGTCCCCCGTGAGTCTCCGTTGGCGGCGCGGTGGAAGTGAGTCGCCCCCCCCGTGGTTGGGAGGAGGTTTGTTCCAGCTTTCCTTCCAACTCCCCGCGCGCAGCTGGGGGAATCCCCCCACCCCGCATTCTTGAGGCTCCCCAACCCCGAGCCGCGGAGAGCTTTGCAGGCTGCCTGCTTTCACCGGTTGGCTGCAGACGTCGGGGGTTGGAACCGGTGCACCGTCGCAGCCAAGCCCAAACCAGGTGTTCATCTGCCAGTTCCGCTTGAATTCCAGGGAAGACGATATTGGAACATCATTGAAGTAGAGGACCTTTTGGATCAAGTAACGACTGTGTGTCAAACAGTCTGACACTCCCGGACTTCAAGACTTCTTTACAATGCGAGTCCAAACGTCAAGCCCATGGAGGGCTAATATGGACAGGAGGCACGGAATGCCCAAGGGGTCAAATGCCCAAGGCACGGAATGCCAAAAGATGTTGAAAACAAGGCCAACGGTTGACCAACACACCTGTTGGAGCGCCCTTTATGGCTATATATATATATATATAAATATCCAACTGGCAGGCAGTTTCAGAACAGGGATGCTGACCAACGGTGTGACACGAACCCAGCTTGACAGAGGGATTTCCCATAGAAGCTGGGGGGTGGTTCTATGCTAATATTAGAATCGATTAGAATTAGAACGATTGTCAGAAACTAGACGCCTTTACCACCAAACCGGGCCCTTTTTACAGGGTCGCCTTACCTTGATTGGTGCTAAGAATATAGACCTCGGGCTTTCGCTGAAAGAATGCCTTCACGCCACAGAAGCACCCGCTCACCAAAAAAAAACTCCACCAAAACCTAGTCCCTACAGTTCGACCAATTGTTTGCCCCACTGAAGTAGGGAAGTTCCTCCTCTGGTCACCTAAGGCCCTTCTGTGAATAGGTGCCCCACAGCCTCGTCGCAACGGCGGCGCGAAGCACGCCATGCGGGCCGGCGCTGGCACCGGCGGAGGCACCTGCATGTGGTTTGGACGGTGGACGGTGTGGACCTTGGGAGGTTGGAGAGGCGGAGGGATCTTTCAGGTGACCATCAAAAGAATCCCTACGAGTCCAGTCAGACCAAGTAAAACCTGGTCCGACTGACCTCCTTGAGTACTGGTTTTGTATGACCATCTCCAGTACAATGAGGTCTTTGGCTTGTAGGGAATGATCCAACTCGCTGGCCCCGAATGGAACTTGGAGTTGGGACCGTCGGTCGACCTGGTGTCCTTTCCTGGACCTTCTACAGCGATGACGTCCGCCCGTTCTCCCGGTGGTTTGGCCCCAAAAGACGGGTTCCGCCCCCACGCGGCACCTGGGAGACCATGGTGCTTGGCCGCGCCACGTTCGCCGGGACCTCGGGTCGCCAAGCCGAGCGCGACGAGTCACCGAGCTCGGAAGGAGTGCCCAGCTCCAAAGGGGGGAAGGAGGTGCAAGTGCCAGGAGTCGCATCCACGGCTGGGACTCCAAAAGCGCCCCATGCGCCTGGCGACCTCCGGGTGCCTTCTGCTTTGAAACCCAAGAGCTTTCGGTTTGGTGCCTGGGTGGCCTGGCACGAACGGGTCAAGACCCGGTCACGAACGGTTCACCAGGAGAGGAGCGATTCACCACTCCACCCTCCCCCCGAGGGTGAGTTGATCAGCAGGTCCACTTTGGCGCGTCTGAGCTAGCTGACGGAACTGTACATCCCTTGATGTCAGGGCACAGGCTTTGTGCTGCAGGCCCTATATAGTTCCTTGAAAGCAAAGGCCCGTCACTCGGCCATTCGCCTTCATTGTTTTTGGATGGCTTAAAAGTTGGCACATGATGCCAGAAAGCGATAAGAAGGAGAAAAACACATGTACACTAACATAATCTAACATAATCTAACTATGTATATATGATATGTATATATAGGTGTACAATTATATACCGTGTATATGCAATATACAAAAACATGAATCAAGAGTCTGAGTACCAGGACGCTTCCGGGCACCCTTGACGAGTTGAATTCACAGCTTCGCCAAGCTGGTCTGCTCCACAGAAACCCACCTGCTCTGGCTGAAGTCTGCTCCATCTTCACGCGAGGGAGTCGGAGGAGCTGCCCACATCGGTGTCCATTTCACTGAGGCTCGGCTCGTCGTCACCCTCCACAAAAACGCCCGCCCACAGGGCCCTGAACCGGACCCAGGGGTCCTCCTTCCGCGAGAGGCGGACAGGGATCAAGAGCACTTGGATGGCGATCCACAAGACTAAACCACCGATGATGCCATAGCCGATGCTGAAGGTGTAGGGCATCGTGACCATTGCCACAAAGGCAGGCATCGATTCCTAGACGAATGGAGATCCGTGGTTTTCTGCTTTTCGGTGTGTTTGGATGGTGACAAGTAGGGGGCAACACGTGGCGTTCATGGCCAATCTGATTCAAAAAGGATGGATAGTAGATGGTGGTGGGGGGACTGGTTGATCTGGCAACACCGTGTGCACGTGTTCTCTTGATGATGAGGCCAACATGCAGGTGCAAATCCCTCGAAAACCTCCATGCATCTCTTGCAGTATTCCACTGCCCATGTTCAAAAAAAAACTATTGAACCAAACTGGTCCAAATATGTCCAAATGCTTGACTCCCCAAATCTCGAATGAACGTCTCGACCGAACTCGGCCAGCCGTGCCTGGAAATCATCCCAGTCAATCCCTCGCACAGAGCTGCACATCAGTGCGCCCAGCAGGCACAAGATGGGCCCAGACGCCAGGGGGGGGCACTGCTGACACGACCGGGGCGATGGGGATGGCCAGCAGGAAGCACAGCCCGGTGACCTCAGTGGTGGGTCATGGTCACATAGGGCACACATATATATATATATATATATGTAACAAGTGGACAGGATGCGTCCATGTCTCAAAGGCTGCGCAGAGCTGGGATTCTGCATGTGGCTGATTCCATTCCACACGCCCAAATAATTCGGGCCCCCTTGCTTGTGGATGTGACACACATCTGGCTTGGGGTTCCAAACACGTCTAGAATAACAATAATAATCGCCGTCTTTATGTTACAATCAAATCGAGAAAATCTACACGCATTAAAGCAGGGAACTCATTACAATAACAATAACTACCAAAAGAAAGTACAGAAAGCGCCAGCAGCCGTAGGGGGGTCCGTTCTACCTCCCAGTGGCCAAGGATGCCAGCCCTGTCTTTGCTCCGTCCGCAACGCCTCACTGAGGCATTCTGGCGGATGAGAGGTCCCAATCCCGATTCAGGACTTGGATGCACTCACTCGCGGGTCATGGGCGCTTCTACACCATCCTTCGCTGTGTTTTACAGCAGGTGTGGTAGAGTAGGTGAAACACAGGTAGGAAAGTACCCCAGACATGGATTGTAAAGCCTCTTCAGGCCTGCCAGGTTGATTCATCCAGATTCTTCAGTAGCTGGGCTTACAGGTTTGACCAGCCGATGGGGTCCAAAATGCACCTTCAGTCACCCTGCCCAAGGCTGACCCAGCAGGACCTCTCTGGCTTCGCCTGCCCCGTAGCTTATGAGGTTCCAATGCTTCCCAAGTCGGGGATACCCTGATCTACGCGCTGAACAGGTCAAAGGCACCACCCCAACTTGGAACCGTTTTGGCGATGAGACGCTTCATGAAGCTTCCTTCCAGGCCTTCCTTCTTATCCTTCCCCCATTCCATCCTCCTCTCCTTTCCCTTTCTACAGCGTTGATGACATCGATCCTTCGTTCCGCCCACCCGGCCCCCGGCCCCACCTGCCGTGGACTCCGCGAAGGTGGCCACCGTGGAGACGCCCAGCATCGAGCCCAGCAGCGCGGCGAGGGCGTCCGCGAGGTACGCCATGTTCCTCGCTTCGCTCGGTACGTCACGCGTCACGCGCGGTACGTCGAGCCGTCCGGTGTCCAGCCCTCTGACTCCAGCCGTCTGACGAAGAACGCAGCGATGCAGCGATAGCTACTCGGTGACCCGGAAAGGGCGCGATCCCTGAAACCTGAAGTCCAACGACCAGTGACGGGACAAACCCAACTTGTAGCCCATCCCATCTGTCCCTATTGATGTTCCCTTTGTATGGGGTCGCAGTTCAGGTCTCTCAACCTCTCTTGCTTCCTGGAACACCGTTGGGTTTTTTCCACGGGGAAACGGTGGGAGGTGGGGCGGCCGTTTTTGGACCGTCCCAAGAGAGGTTGAAAGACTTTATGAGACCCTGTTGTTTGGGTCTATCCTATTACCAGTAACCGTGCGTGATGATGGTTAGTAGAGGCCTTGTTCAAAAATAGTGATAATTGTTTACTACTACAGGTAATGGGACAGACCCAACCTATAGTGATACCGAAGTCTAGTTCGACCAGTTTGGGCCACACCGAAGGTTGGAGAAATTCCCGTCTTGGATCACCCCGTCCAACGGACGGGTTTGGGGAATCTTTGGATATATCCAACAAAGGTGGATAGTGACCTGAACTAGGACCCGTAACCTGGGGCACCTAGCTAGGATAGTCTAGTTCGGGTTCTGACCCACCTCTACTGGTGAGCCTTTCGAGGCTCTTCAACCTCTCGGCTCCGGACGCGGGGACAGGGCGGTGTCTGGGCGGTGGGATCGGCACACGCCAAGCCTGTTGCGTGGCGCCCATGGTGTGTGGACACGGTCGAAGCTCCGGCGGCCCCGTGGGATCGGTGGGATGATCGGTCGGAGCCACGGCTGGAAAGGGATGGCTGTTCAAGGGTTGGTGCTCCAGAGATATTGGCCACGTGATACCTCCAAGCAATGGAATTGAAAAGATCAATCGAACTTGGCCATACTGCTAGCCCAACATAACCCAGAAATAGACTTAGACACTGCAACACAACATGTCTGGGACATGCTCTAAATACCCAGATCGTTGCTTAGCCTTTGCCCACACGTGGCCACCGTCCTACTTCCAAGTGATGTCTCTTTTGTGTGTTTCATTCTGATCACCCGTCTACGTCGTTTCATGCCCCAACCCCAACTCATCGCCCAAGCCCCAGCATCTGCCGCGCCAGCGGCAGGTTGCCACGCCGATCCGTCAGCCCCGCGACCTGCCGATCCGAAGTGGACCACTGTCTTTCTCCGCCAGCAAAGCTGAGGTTTCCTTGAAGGTTCCCCCAAAAAAGGTCTGTCGCGAGTTCTGGGCGAGTTCAGGGCCTGGGTCACAAGCATCATTGACGGGAAGAGTTCCAAGAAGATGGCAGTTGATCTTTCAAAAGGTGGCAGCCCCAAAGGAAGACAGTGCGATCCGCTTTCCGACCGTTTCCCGAGTTCCCGGACCGGTCCCAGTCTGGTCAGCCGGGAGTAGGTGGAGGTGGAGGAACGGGAAGAAGTCCAAGAGAGAATTCGGGGTGTTCGACACGGCTTAGGCAAACGAAGGGGCATGAAGGGGAGCATTTGGGGCCAGGATCAGGAATCACTGTATTGAGTTGTGAGTATCTGGCAAAATGCCGTCCGGCCTGCCGTCTTGAGGCGGTAGGTATGTGCTGCCACTGTTGCTATTGATCTTGCCGGCTTCTCGTGAAACTTCTGAGTGCCCCATTGCAAACTCTGCCTCCATCATGGGGGACTCCCACCACTTTCCACTTCCAAGCAGGCCTTGTGCTTCGTCACCCCGAGACGTGCGTGCCCCGTGTCACTCCCACTGCAGCACTACCCCCCCCCTATTGCTTGGGGACAGCTCCACAGCCTGGCGTTCCCAGGCCTTGGCGACGGCAAAGAAGGTGCCGGACGAATCCAAGAGGTCGGTGTAGCAAAACCTCGGACGCCGAAAACGGCGGCGACTTCCGGCGTCGACTCGACGCGGAACCCGCGGAACGCGCGGAAAACGGGGCCAAAGCTGGCCACCGGAGGCGACGAACAGGAGTCTCAGTCGTGAGAGCGCACGTCAATATTAGTCACTGCTATAATCATAAGTCGTCCTTTTTTTCGTCTGCGGCGGCTTCTTTTTCGGTGACGTCCGAGTGCGCAAGGTCTGATGGTCTGACATGAGCTTTTTTTGGATAGAAGTCCTTAAGTCCTCCGGTAGAAGCTGGTGATCATCTGGCCTTGTGCTAGAGCTGGTACGATCAAGTCTGCAGGAAGGGAGTTAGCAGAAGATAGCATAGGTTGATGTTGTACAAAGTCATGCCCTCAGCTTGTTGGGCATGTGTTGTTTCCATGGTTTTTTGTAGAGTGTGCCGTGAGGTGAACATGTTCTTTGTACACATGTGCATAACATTAATTACAATATACAGTATATATATATAACATTATATAACCATCACAATGTCCAACCCATACACTCTCCGGGGCCATGACAAAACGACACACCCACTAGCCACCACTTAATGGATAGTGATTCCCAAAACAGATTGAAAAGTACAGCGATTCCCATGTCTACCCGCTGTACCGGACCACCCGCTGTCTCACCGATCCGCTCCGCGCCACGTGCCCACGGCCGTCCAAAAGGTGGCCGCCGTGTCGGCGTGCACCGCCGCGCCGAAGCCGTCCCAGAGGGCGCCGCTGAGCCCCTCCAGCGACGGCTGCGCCACCAGGCTACTGGGCACGTAGATGTGGAAGTCCTGCCGCCGCGCGCCGCGGTGGCCGCCACCGCGCCGCGGGGGGAAGACCCCCCGCCAACGGTGCACCCCCCGTTCGGTTGTCGCCGGCGGTCGGCGGTCGTTTCGGTCGAGTCCGCGTGGAATCCGGGGGATCAAAGGGGCGACCACAAGGGGGTTGGAAGCGAAGGTGAAGCTTTCGGGAGGTGACTCGCGAGCTTTGTACATCCAAAGCCTACATGATTCTGTATACTGCCCGCGCCGATCTAGCTGAACAACCACCCATCCGGTTGGGCGCCGGCAGCCCTGTCAGTCCTTGTCTGTGTGGTTGCCCTTGATGCCAAAGGGGTAGCCGAAGACCGAGTGCTCGCGTCCACGCGCGAAGCCCTCGATCCAACAGACGGCGGTGCCGAAGATGATGCCAATCAAGGGCGCTCCGGGCACCTGGCACGGGTGATCTCCCAGCGGACGGGAAGAATGGAGGCGTGTAGATCTGGGACCAGATTTATCTGAATCTATTTGCTCGATTTCTATTATGGTTGTGTTGTTGGGAGGTCCTCCTCAACCTACGGTCCAAGCCCATCGATGGGTGACGCGGACCCGGCTGAGCCTTGAATGGTGAAATAAGAGACCTGGACCTGTCGTGGTGCCGGCATCAACGCCCCACCATCCGTGCAGCTTCCTCCCCCACCCCAAAACATCGCCCCTGGTGGGGCCATGCCTTGGCGGCAAAGAGCGTGGCGGTGAGACCCAGCACCGCCAGGCTCAGCCAAAGCTTGTAAGCGTCGTAGTTGTTCAACGACAAGGAGTTCAAGGTCACCAGCGTGGCGGGGTCTGCTACAGAGAGTCCCATCCCTGGTCAGTGCGGCGAGGTTGGTGAGGTGAGTGATTGGGGGACCCTCAAGGACCCTGGAGGTTGACCATCTGAGCACTATAGTGACTATAGTGTTCACAAAGAAGGGAACCGCCGTCCAGGAACCTCCCGACATACGTCGCGACACGGGCCGTGTTTGGACCGGACCGGGACCCGGTTCGCCGCGCAACCGGGCACGAAGAGCGGAGGAAGATCGGATCGCACCTTCAGAGCTCTGGAAGGCAATGAAGCACAGGAACAGCCCGACGCCGGCACCGATACTCTCCTGGAAGAAAAAGGGTTTTTTCTGCCCGTGGTTTCGGTTGATTTTTGTGAATCGTGCGCCTCAAAAAACTACCGCCCTTTTTCCAAAAAACAAGAACACAGGCTAACACAGGGCAAAAAGGAGGGAAGTCACTTGCAAGGGCTTGCTTGAAGCGGTGCAGGGATTATCCATTCACCACCCCTTGATGCCACAAGAGTCTCTCCAGTCCCGGGACTCCCGCAACCACAGGGTCCTTGATACCTTCTGGGAAGAGCCGGATCATAAGCGTGCGCAAACCAGTGATGCTCAGCAGGATGAAGATGCATCCGGCCATGAAGACCGCTGCAAAAGCCGCCTGGTACGGCAAACCTCGGCCGAGGCAGATGGTGAAGGTGAAGAAGGCGTTCGTCCCCATGCCAGGCGCCAGCATGAAGGGGTAGTTGGACAAGATCCCCATGAGCCTTGGATGTGGCCCAAGTCCAGGAAGTTCACTCGGACATACTCCTCACTAACAATGGGAGTGGGCGCGCCACTGAGCGCCACTGGAAAGACCATGTGCAATACTTTGGGTCTATCCAATTACCAGTAACAGTGGATGATGATGGTTAGTGACTAGTGAAGGCCTTGTTCCAGTGATAATTGTTTACTGACTGCTACAGGTTAAAGACCCTGCAGGTCAGTGGGACCTCATCTTACTAGAGTTGGTCATCTGAAAACACTACCGTTTACAATCGTCACCTTCTTTGCCAAACGGTAAGCCCTTAGACTCAGACTTAGACATGTATATCCGTATATATGCCTCGTTCACACCAGGTCGCCAGCAGCCGCAGAAGGCCGCAATGGCTGTGGCGCACACTAGCTGCTCCCTCTTGTCTGGAATCACTAGGCTCAACATCCCACTGTTCACTGGAAGAATGTAGGCCATGGCTAGGAACGTGGTGATGCCAGCCCGTACCTCCGTCGCATAGCCTGATTGGCATATCGATGCCGAGTTCGGATGCTACGGGGAGACCCGGACCAGATGTCGGAAGGGTTGCGTCAAGCGGGGCACGTGCTGCAACTCTCAGCAGTCACAAAGGGACAAAGGGGTGCTTCATGGAGGTAGTCGGGGTGCCCAGCTACTCCACTCACTTAGGGACCAAACACCACCCCGTCTTGTGACTCCTGGTCTATGACATCTCTATAGAACCTGACCCAGGCTCTCAAAAAAGAGCAGTTCCACCCACCACTCCGAGCTCCCGCCAGGTCACTGGAGCCCCTCTTCTTCACATCGAAGGGATCCTTCAAGTTCAGATGTCCAAAGTTCCCTGCCAGGCCCAGGAACTCCAACGTCGTGGGCTTCTGGCCGCTCCTCGGCACCTGCGAAGGCGCGGACAGAGACCGCGACCGACCACTGAGGGCTCCGATTGCCCGTGGCCAGAGAGGTCTTGAGACCTGATCATCACCTGAACTAGGGCCAGAGGTAGCCAATGACCTGAACGTTCGGACCCGGAAAACCTGGGGCATAGGATAGTCTAGTTCGGGTTCTGACCAACCGAATGCTGGCGGGGGTGATTGGTTCTGTTCATGTTCTTTTAGAAAGCTCCAGCTCGGTCCAAGACCAACGAGAAGGCAGCCTTCTCCATCTCCTTCTCCATCTTGATCGTCTCCATCGTCCGATCTACACAGAGCGCGGAAGACGGTCGGATGGCGAAACCGTGGCTGCCTCGAGCCGACTGGACTCGGTCCGTGCCACCGAAGCCTTCGGCCGGTCTTGATCAGGGTCCCCCCCAGTTCTTTGGGGTGTATGATTCGGGCCCTTCATTTCATGTATAGGCTCTTAGATGAATCAAACTGGAGTTCAGTCTTACCCATCCAAGAGTCTCCATTAGACGTGATTTGGCGTTTCTATTCACCACCCCTTGGAGGGCCTATTGGCATTTTCCCCTTTTCAGCGCTCACCGAAGCCGCCCCCCGTCCCCGGTCCTTCGCCGGGTGTGACACGTGTCGCGCTACGTACGGAGTCCGTGGAAGCTCGTCACCGTGGAAGCTGGGTGTCACTGTGTGGGATCGACACTGGAAGAATCCTGGAAGCGGAAGAGCACCGAGTCGGAGGCTGAGGCTGATTTCATCATCCGAGTCCTTGGGGCCCCATCTCAGGGAGTGGTTTTTGATGGGGAAGAGCAGGGAGATTGGCCATCCCATACCCATCATGCCCATCGATCCCAGCCCTTTTCAATGCCAATCTCTGCATAGCGCCGCAGAAACCTCCTCACACGAGTTCCCCCTGGGAGTGTTGAACATCATTCTACATCAACTTGAGGTTGTGATCAGTGTCAGCTTGCCCCCTTGCCAGGGGCCCCCACTGATCGCTTCCGTTCCTGAGCCTCCCCGACATGCACCGGTGCCGCGGCACTGAGCCCCGGCCGGTGCGTGCGGATCCTCGGAGCTCACACCCGCCCGAGCCATCTGATTGGGTTGGGTCTCAGAACCATCGAACCACCCGAACTGGGTGGCGCTGGTACAGAATGATGTTAGACTCTTGATGGTATTTCATGGTATTTCAGTGTACACTTCAATCCCCTAGGCCAGAAGAAGGCTCTACCCGTCCCATGTCTGGGGGGAACTGGTTTCAGGCCATCAAAGCTTTTCGGATTGGAAAGCTGGAGTACATACCAAATCCAGTTCCAAAGGCGTTCGTTTCCGAAACAATTTGGGTCAAATTGCGCACACGTTCAAGTAGAAGAGTCTGACAACGAATGAATGTCTTCCATCATTGCCGTTTCTAGAGTTACAAGTAGTTTCTTGATGCTTGTCCATTTTGTGTTTGATGCTTAATCATCTTAATCATGTTTTGGTCGCTGCCTATCCGAGAGACCTATCCCCTGTCCCAGGCTTTCTCTCCTTCTTCCAACGGCCAAAAACCGTCCGCCGACGGCTGAAACCCTGGGCTCTCCCCACAGCGTAGGCGAGGCGCAGCGGTGTAGGGTGGCTGCCGAGGCACCTCATGAAGACGCGGTGCGGGCCGAGCTTGAAGCGAGGAAGCCAGGCCGAACATGGTGCGAGAGAGAGACTGAGAGAGCTCCTCTGCTCCTCTCTCCCTTTTTTGTGCACGGTTCTGTGTTTGTCAGCAGGTGATTGGTGATTCAGAAATGCATTCTCATCTGTATGCAAGATCGTAGTCTCTATATAGATATATATATAATATATTATATATATATATATCTCTCTCTCTGTGTTGGTGCAGGATCCAGAAGTGACTCCCTCAGGTAGCGAAAGATTAGAAGGGCCCTGGCCCATGGAGTTGTCCAATCAATTGCCGATTTCAGACATGATTCGAGGTGTCCATTCACCACTGACCCGAGGGCTCTGGTCGGAACCAGATCGACCGACTGAGGCCACCCCACTCAGAAGCTGGCGGCCCTGGCACACATCTTCGATTCCAACGCAAAACGCCGGAAAAGTGCAATGAAAAGGTAGAACTACCTACCCCCTCAAATGCCAGGCTGCTAAACATAGGATGTTTGCGCTACCCAGCAGGCTCCGCAGTTCTGCCAACATCCACCGAAACACTCACCATCTCATCTCCCCCGCCTCCACCCGCGGCGAGATCGCCGTCCCCACCGGCCGCGGCACCGCCACCGGCGCCGCCAGGCTCCGCGCTTGGCCCAGCCGAAGCGTGGGCACCACGCGCCCGGCCCCGCTGTACCCGCCCAGGCTCGCGCGCTTCGGCGCCGGGCGCGCCACGGGCACGGCCGGGTTCGTCGCCGCGGCG